CCCCTTAGAAGTATTTTGTGCTTCCACATTTTAAGAATTACTAGTATTTGCGTGGCTGTAATGTGAATGGCCCTTTTAGTACTTCTGAAAATTTCCCAACTTCTTCTGCTTGACAAAAAAGGTAAAATCAAAGTTTTCTTTCTGAGAGATTGCAAGAAATTTCATGTTTCTGTTGGCAGCAAATCTTATATATGCCTGGGATCAGATAAGCATTTTCGTGTTGACTTTAATAGTACTGTAAAATATAGATTTGGAGGCAGGTGTCTGTTCCTTGGGAATATTTTGTGCATGCTCTTTTTTCTTTTTTTTCCTTCTTTCGATTACACAGTGATTCAGTCTGGCATAATACTCTAATCTGCAAACTTCCTGCTGTGTTGATCAGACTGGCTTCTGAGACACAGAGTTCAAAGAACATGAGATAGTTTAGGAACAGGAAAAGGCCATATGGCTTCACATGCCTACCCTTCCAAAATGTATCTTAATCCTACCTTCCTGCTATTTTTATTATCCTCCCAGTCCCCTTCTTCTCAAGGAACAAGTTACAAGTTTAGGTCTCTTTTGTAAGTGGGTTTTTTTTTTTTTTTAATACTTTTTATTTTAATTGCTTTTCCTAACAGCTTATTCCACATGTTGTTTCTCTTATTGTTTCAGCAAGATCATTTTGTTTTCCTTACCCACTCCATGTTCTATAAATTGTATATCAAGGATCCTGGTGTTTGAAACTCTTTCTGTTGATACATTATGGTAACTTTTAACAAATCTGACTAATCTTGTTTCCTAGGGAGAATAAAATCATCTAGCTCTAAAAATCCCCCATCCCCATACTTCATCTTTGTAGTACCCTATGTAGAGACTTTGCTTTAGGATACTGATATTTTTCCAAGCAAATTCCACATGCTTAATCTATTTGTTATGAAATTTGAAGGCAGATTTGATAACAATGTGGAAGTTTGCAAATTCCAAATGTCTGTTTAAGTTTTATTATTTTCTTCAATAGGCAGCTTTTGGACTAACACTGCATCATGTCAGTAATGACTCTGAATGGGAGGTGCAATACTGTTGTCTCCTGCTTGTTTTTACATTGCACATACATTTTTTTTAAAATAAATCAGTGGCAGTGCTGAGTTTGTGTTAAATCTGGTCATTCTTAGTGCTGAAGGTGGTAGCTGGGAAATGACTTGAGTGCTTTTAACTGTTGCTTTCTGATCTTTAGGCGCTTATGCTGTTCTTACAGTTGGGGGTGTTTTAAACACAGAAATCTTTAGCCATTACTCCAGCTTGTAGAATGGAATAACACCCTCCGTACTGCTCACAGATGTTCCCAAGCTGATGCAAGTGCCTAAACGGTTCTCAAGAACCCTTTTACCACACTCGTCTGAGCCCCAGTGCCAGCCAGGGCAGCAATGTTTTTTGTCCTATGGGTACAGCTGCTGAGCAGTGCTGCAGGGGCAGCGGTGCTGCTGCACAGCCGCTCAGGGAGGGCTTTCACCCATCTGGGTCTTGGGTGGTACACAGGGAGAATTGGTGGCTGGGAAGGCTGTCAAGTTCATAGCGTGCCAGTGCTAAGCTATCCTTGCAAATGCAAATTCCTTAAAGTGCTCCTATAAAAATGATGTTTTGAGCATTTATGCTGCATGTATTTGTTTACGTATATGCTTACCTTTGTTTTGTGTGTGAATGATGTGAAGTGAAGGAATGTAAACAGAAATATCTTAAGTCACTCTTCAAGGTCTGACACATTTACAGTCTTTATCAGTTACTGATGACACTGTTGAAACACTCCTGCACAGACAGAGGAGGGACTTAGCATGGTACAGCTGAAACAGGTACCTGCAGCTACAGCAGCATGTCTGCGCAGCGTACGGCCAGAGTTTGGAGCTTGTTCCTTGCTGGGGTGGATACAGCAGTTCGTGGTACTGGAAGTGTACTGCTCTTGTGTTCAGAAGGGTTCCCTGTGGGGTTTTTAGACTGATTTCCCTGAAAGCCTAAACACATTTTTCTAGGACTCATGATTCCCAAATTGTTTCAAATTCCTCCTGTACACGACACTCTTGTCTCTCTTAAGGTAAGTATGTGCTAACTGTGAATATCGGTTTAGTTTTGTTTTGTTTTATTTTTTTATTCCTTCAGGGAACCCTTGGAAGCATATATCTATTTTGGCCCTGTGTATTACCAGAAACTAAAGCACATGGTGTTGGATAAAATGCACGCAAGAGCTCGAGGACCCAGAGCAGTGCTCACCAGGTACTGTTACAGGCCAAGCACAAAATTCTGGTGTACATTCAGAAGTGTGCCCAGCTGACTGGCAGGTATAAAACAAAGTTGGGTTACCTTTTGATACTTGACACAAAATGCTATTACCTGTTAATACACTGTTACAGACTAAAAGCTCTCACAGTAGACTGTGACAGGAGGTTGTTCTGAATATCCAGGTGTGCTCTCTGTGGTCCAAAACTGAGTTAGCTTCTCAGACTTCTGTTAGCAGTTGGTAAAAATACCATCTGCTGATTCACAGTGCACACTGTGGCCCTTTCCTGTCAGATTGCTCATATCATAGGTATTTTAGGAGGATTTTTTTTTTTTCTTTAACATCTGTGTTTTTACAAAATCGGGTATGAGTAGAAGGAAGAAATGTCTTTTAATATTTCAGCATCCTTTGGTATTCAGCAGGTTAATATTGACGCAGCCCATGTCTTCACCTGTCAAGGCAAAGCAAATGCATTGGCCCTAGTGTAGCGCATTAGAATAAAGTGCATCCCTGGTAACCTGCACTTCACCTTGCAGACTCCTCCATTCAACTCTAAAACTGAATTTAGGGTTGTATGTGCTGGTCCACAGTTATCATTCAATACCATGCAGGAGAATAGTACTTTCACACTAATAAACTGTAAAAGTTACAGGGATGCCAACAGTAAATCTCCATTTTTATTTGCCCAGTTAAAGATATGTCCTCACTTCCTTTGCGGTCATGATTGTTGTACTAAGCCTGAACTTGGTTTCTCTCCAACAAAAAGGTTGATTACCATGTTGATGTCTTCTGGTGTCAAATTTTGAAGTCAAGCAGATGTACTCTGAGTAACAGGTAATATAAGCCCCTGGAGGTGGGCTTATATTATCTGGACCTTTGGGGATTGAAGCATCCTGCTTTCACAGATGTTGCTTACCTTTTCTCCTGGAAGCCAAGTGGATTGTTTAGTTCACCTCTCTCCATCACAGGAGGATTATTTGCTAAATCTTGACAGAAAGTTAATTGCTGGCTAGTCTTGAATATTCTAGCAAAGGTTATTCCAAAAGTCCTTTGCCAGTCTTTCTGGACTATCATGTACGCCATTTGTACCTCACCTGCTGCATGGTGGTACTCTTCTTTTTGACCGGTCCCTTTTGTACTGTTTTTGAGATGTAAGCACAAAGTCACGTCTGTCCTGCCCTTACTCTTCCCTATAACAAGCATGATTCATATTTTTTAATTCTTAATTTATTTTCATGCCTCTCACCATGTGCTGATCCACTTTTCTTGCCTTGCCTGACTGCACAAGTTAGCAAGCGTGTCCTCTTAATAGGTACAGCTTCTATCTGTTGATGTGCTATTAGAGAATGGAAGGGCAGGTCTCTGCTGTACCTGATACAGAAGTATCTTTTTCTTTTGCTTTTCATTGCATATTTCCTATGCCTTTTGGCTTTCCAACCTCATGCTATCTCTAGGACAAGCTGAAGTTGTCTCACACTTTCCAGGGAAGTAAATACCAGTGGTTGAACTGGGAGAGAAATCATGAAAAGTTTTTGTAATTCTTGGCTGAACTTTTCCACCAGTGACTTCCTACCGCAGCTGCTTGCCTATATGAACATAACTGATATTCCCAAATAATGAGCTGTCTGCCCCATTTTCTGTTCTTCAGTGTGTTAGTCATGATATTGGTGCTTCACATAAGAATGAAAACTCGCTGTCTTAGCTAACAGTGCACGCAGTTGGTTTACTGGAGCTCCTAGCTTACCCAAATCCCTTGATCTGCTTTTGTATTGTCTCCCCAACTTCTCAGCTGTTTAGAGATATTGAATTTAAATGAAATCTAAATCCCAAGTCAAGGTAATGTTTACATGTAAAGATGAAGGTGGTGTGATTTCCCCCACCCCTTACTTTCTTTGAATTCTTTGTTCCAGTCAGTAGCATCATACTATGTAGCTAGGCCTCTTTATTTGACTTTCAGGAAAGCTAGTGGATGTTCAATTTATGCTGCCTCTTGACTAGTCTTTTAGGAATTTTCTTTTTTCTCCTCAGCTAATTAAACTTTTGTTATTGCCATCGCCTCTGCTGAGAGACTCTGCTTTGCCAGCTTTCGTACTCACTATTGTTTTATCATCCATTGCACTTCCTGGAGAGTAGATTACTTTTCAAAGTAATCCTGTAACAGCTTCCAACATGGAATTTGGCTGTCGTCTCGAAATGCATTTTATTATATATCAAATGTACCTTAACTGACAGAGCAAAGATATATTTCCATCTGGAATACAGCAGAAGACTTGAGTTTCTTGAACGTCACTGATTCTAGATATTGTTCTGCTTAAAATAAGACTTTGTAGAATTGCAAAGCAGCACTCTTTGTCAACACAGTCAAAAACCACCAGGATATTGCCCTCTGAATTGGTTTTTGTTAAATGAAATGCAATACTTCATTTATTTTGCCATGAGTAGTTGACAATTAATTTAAAACATAGTTCTATATATGGTGTTGCCTAGATACCCAGTCCTGCTAAATCTTTTTAATAGATAAACTACTTCTAGTTTTCCTTACAAGAGATCAATATAAGCTTTCTGCATGTGTAGTTGTTTTGATGGACATTGTCAGAGCTGCCACCTGTGTGTCTTTTCAACTTACCAGATATGCAAGTTCCTGTTATACTGTGAGTAATGGGATGACACTGGTCAGGGCTCCTCTCTGTGCTCTGGGACTGTGGGAGCACGGTACGCCCTCCCCCTTCAGGTGTTTTTCTAGGTAACGCCCCACTTCTTGGAGATCAGTGTTTCAGCCAACTACTCCATTTTGAGTTAGCCTCTGCTTTTCCATAACAGGCACAAGGGAGATCTGCTGAGACCGACAAGGCCTGCTCTTAGTCATGGGGCTAGACTTATTTCCCCCCACTGGCCAATGAAACAAGGAACAGGGCCATAAAGCTGAACCCACTGTTCTTCCAGAAAATGCAGAATTAGTGCCAATAAATTCTTAATGTGCTTAAAAACAGTGACATTAATTGTGTTACGCTTTTTTCTAAATGCAGCAGTTAAATAGTATGAAGACCACTTGGCCTTATTTTTTTATTTAAAGAATCACTGCATTTTATTTAGCATTTAAAAACTTTAAGAACTTACTTTTTTTTTAAATATGAAAAATACCTCTTTTTAATGATATTCCCAATCTTATTTTCAAGAGTCTGCTTTGTTTTCAGAGTGTTGAATGCCTAGAGAAAAAGCTGCAGTGTATGTGTGCATACCAGGAAAGGGGAAGCACAAACACTTTATAAATACTGTTTTAACATTTTAAACAACCTTTGGTGTGAGGAGTTTTCAAACTCATGTGAGCCGGAAGAAAAATCTTGATAGACTTAGGGAGCATAAGATAGACACTTTTCAAAGGCCCAATCTCAATATTGAAATTTTTGGTACTTTAGAAAACTACTTTTTAGGGAGGGAGGATTTTGTTTGGTTTTTTAATGAGGTCATTTTGACAGTGGGGGTGAAACACTTAAGAGCTTAAGGCTCAAATCGGGGTTTTTTGTTTTGGGGGGGCTTTTTGTGTGGGTTTTTTTTTTTTTTTTTTAAATGGGATTTCAGCTGCCTTAGAAATCTTCATCCTGTATGTGTTGGAAGACCTGTGGCATATCAACTGTTGAAAGGGCTGGAGTTGAGACCCCATCATTTTTCAAGAGGTTTTATCCTCCCTTAATTGGATTGAGACTTTATTGGGGCTTACATTTATAAAGCTATTTTGTCATTTCATCCTGTGGAACAGCACCTGGTGAAACTTTTGAAAGTAGGCTTGTGCATTAACTAATATTATAAAGTCAGTTGGTAAAAGGAACTCAGGCACTTCGAGCACCGCAGCAAATTCCTGTATCTTTGGAGGCCCCAGCTGCTTTTAAAATCTGCCTCTTGGGACTTCAGAAGAGAAACTGCATTCACCACAGGGTTAGTCCTTTAAAACAGCGTCTGAACAGTGATGGTGCCATCATCTGGGGAGGGGGCCCTAGGGAGTTTAATCAGGATGTAAACAACTTCTATCCATTCTCCCAACAGTGGGAAAAATAGAAGGGTATATGAATGAAAAGGACAGTTTGAATTACAAGCAGATTAGTTCTAAGGTTCCAGTGTGGTCAGAGTAAGGGAAACTACTTCCCCCTAAAAACAAATACAACTTGCATCTTTAGAAGATATTTTGGTCTGGTAATTGGGTATATTTTTTCACACTTGTTACAAAAGATTATTAGATTTGAAGTTGAAAGATTAAAAGTTGAAGGCTTAAAATTAGATTAAAAGTTCAAGGCTTTTATAAATCCTTTTCTCTGAGTTGCAGTAAGTTGGCAAAAACTTATTTTTAATGTATTTAGTAGCCTTAATAAATTTGGTTGTTTGAAATAATATTAAAAAAATATACTTCAAAAGTTACGGGCCAGATCTGTCATTGGATATTCTAGGTGGATTATGCTGCTGCAGGTATTGGAAACAGCACCTAAACGTGGTGTTTCACTGAGCAGTGAAGCCTCTTGTGATTGCCAGTAACATTTTTTTTTAATTCCTTCTCTTTGCTGTCAAGTTTCAGGGAATATACGAAGATGGAAATATTTAATAAAATGTGTGCAATATATTAGTGCTTCAGGAATTTAAGATTGGTTCTGCTTTGTAGTTCACTTGTAATATTTGCAACCTAAGTACTACAGCATTGTGCTAGTACATGAGAGTAGAACTGATACTGTATGAAATTGCAGTATGACAAACGAGGTTAAAAGTTTTGACTGTGTCCAACAAAAATTGGCTTAAACAGTCATAATGTTAAATAATATATTGTACCTTGCCTTTTTACCTCAAAATCTTCCATGTATACTTACATTGCTTCGTTAAAACTTTCCTCTAGCACCATGAGGACAAGAGGTCTTCCAGACAAAAAATGAGAGTTTGATTTGTGTTGAGGAACTAGAAAACCAGGAACCTATACAATATGAAAATTAGTCTATTAACTGTCAGACATGAAAAAAATAAACTAGATAAATGTTACTTTAAAAAAAAAAAAAGGAAAAAGGTAGGATTTCAGTAATGAGTTAGTAATATGCATGCTACTTGTTTGCTGCTTTGTTTTGGTATTCTCTCCCAGATCAAAAATGGGTTTATTTTAAGAATTTAGCCTTAGCTGTAGTTCAGCTGAAACATTAGCTTGATGATTCATTCATTAGCTGCTGAATATTGTTTCACTTAGCTAGCTACAAACTGTAATGAATGTCTCATCAAAAAAGAGCACCAAATCTGTGTCCAGTTCGTCTTGGAAACTGTTCGGTCTCTTTTTGTTTTCACTTACTCAGCTACATTCTGTGAGGTAAAAAGTTGTGGCCTGGCACTGCAGTTGCTAGTCACAGAACTACATCATATTGCTGGTGCAGGAGCAAAGATTAATTGCTTCAACTTGAATAACACGTTTGCAAGATCAGCAGCTTGTAGATTGTTTGTAGATGGTTTGTAGAACGCTGTTGTCCATTGATCTGATACTGCTCCTACAGTTTGAAGACAGGCATTCTTAGAGTTGTAGAATGTATGTTCTGGAATACTTACTACATTTTTTTGAATATTTATTTCAAAGGCAACCCACTGAAGGTCGATCCCGTGATGGTGGTTTACGTCTTGGAGAGATGGAACGGGATTGTTTGATAGGTTATGGAGCCAGCATGCTTTTATTGGAGCGACTGATGATTTCAAGTGATGCCTTTGAAGTGGATGTTTGTGGACAGTGTGGCTTGCTGGGGTACTCTGGCTGGTAAGTTGTCTTAACTCTAATGCTTTTTGTAAATCGTGGTGTCCCCTCCTCACTTTGTGCATGTGACATGTTTCATATTTTCAAAAAAAAACTTGACCTCAGGTGCATAAAGCAAAGTGGTACAGAGTAAACATGCTCTATGCAGCAGAATCTTATCCTTGGTTATAGTGGTTCTCAGTTTTGAAGTGCTTACAGACACCGATTAACAGTCCCATGCACCTTAATCAAAACCAGTGTTAATGTTCAAAATTGGTATTTGGAAAATTGGTGACCAGGGATGCTTCTTTGTTATGGTCTGATTGAAGTTAGGACTAAAGTGAGTGTGTGGTCCATGGGCCAGGGGTCTCTCCTGTTGTGGGAGCAGAGGTATTGTCTTCCACAGCCGGCTGTGCTTGTGGGAAAGGTTACCTTTGCTCTGTCTGCTGCCTTCCTTCCCACCCTTGCAGGGGATTAGCAAACACCCAGTCCTGTATATCATCTGTTTTTTGAAAAGGGGAAAATAGCTGTGCCAATGTACTTGACTCCTCTGACATCAGAAATGAGATTACTAGCTAGGCTAGTCACAGATCTTCCTGGTACAATCACATGTTGAACCTCACAAGGCTGAAGAGAGAGAGTGCGCGCAGAAGAAAGGGAGAAGAAAGCAACATCTCCTGCTTTCTTGTTCTCTAGCTATGGAGTTCATAATCACATGCATACCGCTTTCTTTGACTGTGCCCCTCCCAAATGCCTTTTGTTTGTAGTCTTGTGAAACAAGGAACTCCTCTTCGAAACATCAGACAAATGCACCAATCCTATGCTGCAGCCTGAGAGACAAGCAGCTGTCTGGAAATTCATCTGGCTTCTGCCCAACTGCCTTGTCCCTGCAAAACTTATCTCTAGACTAGCTGATGGTCTTGCTGTCTTACTCTGGGTCCTAAGCCAGTACTGAGTTTATCTCCTGCAAACAAACTGGTTTTCCATGTAGGGGAAGCATAAAACTGGATGTCAGAACTATGTGGAGCTCGCCATGTGTAACACTGTGGGCTTTGCTCTAACCATCTTTGCTCTACAGTAATTTTGAGATGCTAGATTTAAAGTTGCCCTGTAGCATGCTGGAAATACACCACTACTATTAGAAGATAGGGAAACTTCTTTTTATGTTCTTCAGAGGTGAGGGAAGCGTTTTACTTTAGCTTGGTTTTGTTTTAGCCAGGCAGAAAAACAGACTTGTGAGACCAATAGGAATTTATGAGATACAACGTTCTTGCAAGCTTTGTGAAAGCATGTGACCTGGAATCCCATGACTAAGGGAGGGAAAAATAAACGGTTCAAGTTACAAGTTACTCTACTATTTATGTCAGGGGAAGATGGGGAGTAGGAAGGAGGAGGAGGAGGAATATTCATTTCTAAATACCTCAAAAGAAAGTTGTTGGAAACTTGCCACATCATGGACATCAATATCAGTCTATTGGATAGAGGCAGCAAATTGGACTTTATTCACTTCAGTGCTTTGAGGGTGATTTTTCCATGATAGAATAAAGTAGGAAAGTAAGGTGTGTTCTCAGTTTGTTGATGTGTAAAAGTGACAGCTACCGTTTCTGCCCTTGGTCAGACCTTTCTTCTGAAGCATGTGGCTTCTGCTCAGAAACCAAGCACCATGTTTCTCTGCTAACAGCAGCAGCACTTCTGCTCCTTGTGGAGCGGAAGTTCAGACAGAGGTAGGCAAACACACATGAAATCCAGAGGAGAGACAAGGATGATGACTCCGTGCATCCTCTTGTGGTTGGTGATTTTTTTGGTGGCCATTGTCCTGCTGGCTTTTGTGCAGTAAGTATTTTTGAGAGTCCTGTTTTTCTTGAGCGTGTGTACACTGTATCTAACAAGTGAGGCCTTTTTCCGATCCAGGTCTCTTAAAACTGCTGCAATGCAAGTAACAGTTGAAGGAAGTTGTCTGAAAGAAAGGGCATGCCATAAGTCAAACAACCAACCACTTCTAACTGTGTAAAGCACTGCCTTAAAAAAACTCATGTGCAGATGTAGCTCAATTTTTTTTTTATAAGACCTTGGCCTTCAGAGCAGTCCTTGAAGATTTTCAGAGACTACAGAAAGTGAGGGCACCTTGAAGAAAAGTAGGAATTTTAACTTTAGAAATAGGATTACATTTTATTTTTAAGGTGTTGTTAATATATTTCATATTTTGAAGTTTGTAACAAAGTTTAGTAACTCTCTTTAAATAACTGTGAAAGAAACTACTCTTTCAGACAGAGCCAGACATCCTTGCAATCTGATTCTGTGAAAAGCTGTCTGATGTGTGAGAGTAATCAATAAGAGGTAGTTTCTGCTAAATGATATGCTCTGTCTACCAGTAGCTGAAGGAAGTGGCCCTATAATGAGCATCACAGTAGAGACCAAGTCATTAAGAGAAACTTCCAAATGGGTCTTTCAGTGATTCTGGCATTAAGAATCCCTGGCAACATTCAAGGTCAGGTTGGACGGGGCTCTGAGCAACCTGATCTAGTTAAAGCTGTCCCTGCTCACTGCAGGGGAGTTGGGCTAGATGACCTCTAAAGGTCCCTTCCATCCCAAAGCATTCTATGATTCTATGATAAGAAGTCATTGCTGCAAGAAACCTTTTAGAAACGTATTCTTTGGTGGCTAGCATTAAGGGCACTTGTCTTAAGGAAGATGAGCCCTTTCTCCCAGACAAGGACTAGCCACTGGGTATGCTTCTTCTGCAAGGTAGTAACAGCATATCAGTTTTCTGGCCTGAACTGGTACTTCTGTGGGGGACTGTTGTGGCAGTGACAGAATTTGTCCCCATAAAAAATATGATAGAAACTTACTGTGAGGTACCAGTTTTATGTAAATTTTCCAGTTCTGCTGTTGTACAGGTGCTCAGGAGCAGGACTCTGCTGAATGCAATGAGGAGAATTTGGTCCTTTTTTGATGATGAGAAGTTATTCCGATCCCTAGAGTCTTGAGCATTTTAAAATATATGTGAAGAAAAATTTTGTTTCTGGTCCAGATTCAGCCTTGTCATGGTTGCCTTTTCCTGTCCAGTTTAGTATCAATTCTAGTACCACATAGTCTTTCAAGTACTTCAGTTTTCTGTGACCTCTTTTAGACCTCTGTTTGACAGAGCTTCATGCTTACTGCACCTTAACCTTTCTGGGTGATGCCCATCAAGTACAGAGCAGGCCCAGAATGGAGTAGCTTTGAGCCTGGGTGTAGTGAGTAGCTCCTCAGTCCCTAGTAGCTGTAATCAGATGCCAGACATCTGCTCATAGCAGAAAAGTTGTGCCTCATCAGGCTTCCAGGGCTTGCAAGGCTTCTGCTGTTGAGAGCAATCACTCGCTAATGTTATCATTGGAAAATGGCTTCTGTTTAGGTCACTTCCTCCCACCATAAAAATGTACCTGGCCCTATCATTTTGGACTAGGGGAGTAGTTATAAACCTGCAATTGAGGTCTATTCTGTTTTAAAGGCAAGCTAGCTGTAACGTTTCCCCTGTGTAACAGCGTACATAGGAGAAGCCTGTTCCTGGGAAACACCTAGTTCAGTCTATTACCTTCTTACTGCCTATAGTCAGATTTAGACAAAGCCAAAGCAATTACTGGGGAGAAGTGACGCTTCATTCCTCATCATGAACTGCAGAAATGTAATTAAGGCATCTGTACCATCGGTTGAAAGCTTTCTTGGGTTAAAAAAAAAAAAAAAAAAAAATACTCCAAGCATGGAGCATGTGGATGTCAAGGCAACCACAGTTTTCTTGGAAAATAACCGGCTCTTCGACATGCTCTTTAAGTATGTCTGTAAAAGAGAAGTAGTGGAGTCTGAAAAAGTAACTGGAAGACTAATGCCAACTCTCATAACCAAGAACTGTATTAACACTACCCAACTTTATTGGGCCTGTCCCCATTGACTTCCATGTGCTCTAAGTCAAGTTCACTGGTAACAGAAACAAGTGACTAAGCATTGGCTTTATTGTAGGTGTTGACTCTCAGCCTCATTGTGTGCCACAGAAGCATGTGGGAATTTTGCTAATTCTTCCTTAATCAGATCTTCAGACTGTTATGACCTTATGCCAGAAATATAAATTTGAAACACAGAAGCAAAAAAAGAGCTTTGTTAGACCGTTAGGAAGTGCTGAGTAACTCTGTGTTCCCAAAGGCCTGGCTTTCTCAACTCTCCAAAACCAGAAGATGGAATATACAGGAGAGGAAATAGGGAGGTCGGAAACTGCTATTTCTTAGAAAGATTTTTAATTTCCTTTGTGTGTACAGAGAGCATGAAATTAAATAATTTGAACAGTTGCTACCACCACTGAATTTGAGTCCCAGTACTGGAAAGATGGCCGAGTGACCAGCCTTCTATATTTCTTATATGGTCAAGGTTACAGCTAAGTGACAAAAAATCCCTTTCCCCCAGAATTTTGGGATCATCATTTGAGTAAAGAGCGCAACAAATATGTGTTAAAGCATTTTTACTGGTTTCCCGTCTTGACTAAAGCTTTGGCTGTTCACGCAGAGAGATGTAAGATGAGAGATGCCTTTTTTCTGGAATATGAACTGATTTGAGACATTACAGGGTGAAATTGCATATAAGGAAAAAACCTAAGTGTGAACCTTCTTTCTTCCTGCCTCTTTTTTGTGACATTTATATAAGACAGAAACTGGACCATTAACCATGTTTTCAGAAACACTTCGCTTTGTTCACCTCCTTTCTCTCATTATGCAATGCTGAATTTGTATTGGCAGTAATGTAAGTGGTGAAGAAGTGGAAGTCAGTCCTGTTAGCTTCTGAGCATAGTGATTCTCCTCCAAGAAAAGTGCAGGTTTAACATTAAGCTACTATTGACTTCAGTCAGATTATTTAAGGGCTTAAAGTTAGGACTTACGTAAGCGCTAAAATGTGTCTCAAGCACTTGGCTCTTTCTAGGACTGAACCCAGTGTTTAAATGCAGGTAGACAAACCAATGGATAGTGGCAACTGGTTTTTTTCTGCAGAGCTTCATTTATGTACCAATGCTGACTTTCTTTTTGTTTGTTTCCCTAGGTGCCACTACTGCAAATCATCATGTCATGTGTCTTCTCTGCGCATACCTTATGCTTGTAAACTCTTATTCCAAGAACTGCAGTCAATGAACATCATACCTAGGCTAAAACTAGCTAAGTACAATGAATGAACAAGATTAAAAAGATGGAAAAAAGTACTTTACAGAAATTGAAGTCCAGCATATATAACTGGAAGATTTTTTTGGTGAAAAACAACAACGCTAAAACTTGAGTGGGCAGAAGGGAGGTGCAAGACAGTGTAAGAAGTCTTTCTTACATATCCTACCTGTTTGGAGACTCTGTCAGTAGAATACACTAGGAGCAGTTCTGAAAGCCTTGACTAGTCTGAGTGAACAGGACATGTGGGAATTGTGGAATAAGGCCATGATCCAGCAAAGCACTTGCATCACTTCAAACAACCCCATGCTTGGTTTTGAAAAGCGCTTTGCTGGACTAGGGCTTGAGCTGAGCTAAATGCTCATCTTATTCATAGAGGTTAAAAATGTTTTCCAGACCAGTGTAATATGAAAGACTAATAAATGTTTTAAGTAATACTGCCTGAATATGTGTTGATGGTTGTGTAAGGATGGTAAAGCCTTCTTGTAATGACTAAACCATTTTCCTATTCCTAAAGCATTTTGTTAAAGCGTTAAAATTTTCTTAAGTAGTGTCAGGCTTAGAGGAATGAAACTGCTTTCTCGAGAACTTGAAATCAGACGTTTTGAGTGGGATTTCAATATGCAGGTGCATTTGTGTGCAAGCAATGGTGTGATTATACAGTCAATCTGCTTTCAGGTAAACGTATGCAGTTTCCTTGGAAGTTCAAGGGAGCAGACTGCATATGCAGCAACTGCATGATACAGCTGACGGATATCTGCTGAGTATAGTAGATTTAATAATACACTGTCCCAAAGCCCTGAAAAGACGGGCTGCGAACACCAGGTACTGCTGTATGCTGTCCTAGGACTTTAGAACTTTTTTTAAATATGGGCATAGCTAAAACTTTTTTAAGAACAAAACAAAACAAAAACCTATGAAGAACAACAAATCCTCCACTGACAGTGAAGCAGGTTTGAATGACCTGAAAGGATTTAGAAAGGGAACAGCTGAATTTTTTCATGAGATTTAAGGCCTAGAGCTAAAGCAGTGCATCAGCTAAGAGTCACTTAGTACCCTAAACTCACTTCAGCCCTTACTCAGCAAAGCATATGGTTAACTTTTTAAGCAAAGGAGTAGTGCCACTGAAGTTGAGATGAAGTATGAGCATGTTCAGGTGCTTCAGAGAAAGGCAGCACTCCAGATCCGTGAGGATACAGAACACGGCCTATGATCTAGGAGTCCTGAGATGCTTTTTGTCTCATCGTATGGCTGAACTGTTACGCTCTTCTTGCGGTCACATTGCTGCTGTTCTATTAGCTGCTTAAGAAGCACAGATGAGTATCAGCCTGAGTAGACTTGCTTTCTAAGCTTCTGCCAAAATGCTTAAACTAGTAGTTTTGCGTCTGGGCTTACAAATCAAGTCCGAAGGGATAGATTTTACTTTTCTTCTTTTTGCAATTGGACTAATGACAACACAGATGTTAACATAGCACATTTGGATTGGAAAAGCTCTTGAAGCACCTCTACCAGGATCTGGACAGCTCAGGGTTATTTACAAAGAGTTATAAGAGAGTGACGTACTGCTTCAGACTGGAGGAGGAGGTTAACCAAAAGCCCCAACCAAATTAACAACCTTTGCTTTGCTCCCCGAGATTGCCAAACCGAGGCTCGGGTGCGCCAGCAGAGGGAGTGAGCCTCAAAGGCTACGGCCTACTGGTGGGGAAAGTTTTGACCTGGACCTAGGAAACTACGCTGAGGATGAGGTGTTCTTGCTAGCCAGCCCCCTCTTAAGTGATCTCCTAGGTGAGATGGTCTGAGCTACAGGACGTTAAAGACTAAGCAGTGTGTACAATTACAGCTGTGAAAAGTTAAGCAGACATAACAGAGATGGAGGAGGAGCAAAGGAGTGTGCTCATGAGTTACCCTATTGAGAGAACAGCTCTGTGTGCAACCCTGAGGGGCAGCCTTGCAGCTAGTTTACCTCAAGCTGATGAAAGCGTGGGGATGAAAGGTTTTGTGAGGGTGAAGGAAATCCTCTGCGATAGCTGAAGTTTAGGAAGGAAGGGGCAGCCTTAGCAATGATGGATCCAGTAGAACATAGAAACTAGGCATGTCTGGCAGTAAGCGGGGGTCACCCACTATCAGCTACTCTGGTGATGCCTACACCCGGTCCATTTACACATCATTGCTGTCTAACCTAAGCCTGTGCATACACCAGAGGCTTATTTGAGTGCAGATTTGAGTTGAAACTCTGATTTTCACTTTTTGCCTCTCTTTAAGAGGCTACCTATGTTCCATCGTAAGAGACCACCTGCAAGTCATCTCTTGGCAATGGAATAAGCATTACAAAACCGACAGCAGACCTGGAACAAACAGCTATGGATTCCTGGAATACAGTTGGTCAAAGTGACAATTCAAGGAAGGAATCCTGCTGCAGCCAGGAAAAATTATGACGCGTGGACTGAGGAGGTAAAATACATTCTCAGAACCCCAGAACTGTCATGCTGCTTTCCTCTGGTGAGCCTCATCTCTTCAGCCCTTTGAATTATCTTCCTAGCCAACTTCCCCTCCCCCACTTTTTATACAGTGAATGCCTTCACAAAGAAGTCTCATGTCAGCTAAGGGCCATACTGCTGGAACTAGGCTTGCCCAAATCAACCCTGCCATGACTCTTTGTCTAATTGCTGAAAGAGATACAATATTCTGAACAACACTTGACAAAATCTTAAGGCTTTAGCACAAGGAGCTGTGGCTAGAAAACTGCTATAAAGTTTTCATTCCGTTGCCACTTCTTTACCTCTTGTATTTAGTGTCCAGCACAGGCTTTGTTCAGCGTGAAGGTCACTAGCGTTAGTCCCAGCTGAAATGCCGAATATGGTCCACTTTCTGAGATAAGCTAGAGGTGTGTGCTGCTGTTGGAAGAGATACCTAACTCCATATAGTATGTTTAAGTTGCCATTTACTTTGCAGATAAAGGATTAAATGCTATTAAAAAGTAGAAGCATTTACAGGCCTAGAATTCAGTAATCAAGTCTATTATTTCACTGCAAAACAAAGACATTAAGTAAGAACTACCCCTTCCAACACCATACATGTCCAGCTCTACTGTTCTGCTGTGAGAAACAGAATCGAGCCAGGGATGGGCTGCAGGATGCGATGGGGCAGAGCAAAGCACAGGTCTGTCAGCCAATTTTAGAACTGTTGGCAAGGTAGGTCACTTGTTCAGAGTTAAGAAAAACAGCCTCATTTTGAGTCATTTACATAATCCTTACAAGTTTTTGACTTTTTTTTTTTTTTTAAGGTAAATGTTTCCAAACATAGCAACTAAAACAAACAAACTGTAAAGAAAAATGAAACCAGACTGGCCAATTTTGGCATTTAAGGAGGATATAACATGAAATATAGGCATACTGAGATTTAATAATTTTAAGATGTGGAAAGTAAAGGGCTCCCACTAAGCACAACTGTGTTTGTTTGTCATGACCATATCTCGTTAGGAGTTTTACTTACAAAGAACCTTCAATGTGCAGCAAAGAGCTTTTAATTCTTTGGACTCCCTACTTGTTGCTTAAACAGGGAGGAAAACCAATTAAAAACATAGACCCGCGATGATAAGAAATTATTGCATGTCATTTCTTGGATTTTCTGATAGTAAATAGAAAAATATCCATGGATTATAGCAAAAAGGGAGCACATCGTAATTAAAAGCCTAGAAAGATGGAAGAATATTTAATCTGTTAGTGATAACACACGGCAAACTTATGACTAGTGCTGTGCATCTGAAAACAGGTTTGTAAGCCCTGCTCGGAACACACCTGTAAAGCCTGACGGTACGTGTAACTGGCGACATGCAGCTGCCAAACCAAACCAGAGGGGCTGAAAATGTGTCTGTGCTTTCTCTGTCTCAAGGTTCTTGAGGGCCAGGATGGCCCGAGCGCCAGGGAGCACGAGCCCTGAAACGACCCCCCTGGCTCCCAGCCCTCCCACGGCGACCCAGAGGGGCAGCGCGGGGAGCGCCAGCCCTCCTCCGCCGTGTCCCAGCGCAGGCGTCTCTGGGCCGTGGCACAGAGCTGGCTCGGCACTGCCGAGGGGGCCCTCCAGCTGGCCTCTCCTCCTGTTGGAGCTGCGGATTGTTTTACAGCCCGCTGCCGATTCAGCGGGGCCATGGGGCACTTGATGGATTCCCGCCTCCGAAGAGGACGTGACTTGCCCAGGGCCACAGAAAGACCGTGCCAGAACTGGGATCAGGACTCTGCAGTCCCCAGGTGCCAGACACGTGCTTGCCTTAAAACTGAGCACTTCATCAAACCGTAAAATCCAGCCAGATGGTGACTCTTTGCTATTATCTGGACCAGTGCTGGGAGGCTTAACGTGTGCAAGGCACAGGGAAGATCTGGATTCCAGTTTCTGTGTCTAAGGCTCAGAAGCCCAGAAAATGGATCCACGGTTTAGACCTAAATGTTGCTAGAAACTTGAATATGTTTGAACCCAAGTTCTGACATTGGTCCATCCTTCTCGTGACATGTTTCCATCTCAGCCTGAACCCACCAGTTTCAGTGGGGAAGTTCTTTCTTTGGGAGGGGGTAGAGAAGCGCAGGGGTAAGAACTGGCTACTTCATCAACCTTATTCTGCCCTGTGTACATGGCCCCGGTCAGATTCTCTTCTTCGAGGCAGCAAAGACTGCATGAATCGGCCAGTGGATCACTTTTGCCTCTCGGCAAACATTTAAGAACTTACTGTATAGACCCAGGAGGCAAATGCACCCTCTCTGCCTTCCATACGTATGAACATATGTCCCAGAATACCAGAACTCTCAGTTAAACTCTCCAAACCCAGGTCAGAGCCAACACAGAGATTTTCTGCAGTAGGAATTTTTAAGAACTGGTTTAGATGGTTTCATTCCTGTCTCAAAATCAGCAGCAAGGATTTCTGTTGGCTACCCTGCGAATGGACTTGGGCCTTTGTTCCGTCTTCAGAAAAACCCTTCCAAGTTTGTGAGCAGGCCATTGCTCTTTGTATCTTGCTGCTGGGGGAAAAGAAAAACGAACTATGTATTTCTCCTGATTACAGTTACTTCTTTATTTGTGTATTTCTTGAGACAGGTATCCCTGAGGTGGTTCCAATGACCACGTATTTTTTCCAAGAGCTTCATTGTTCGTGTCTTTGTCCCCTCCTCCCAGTCAGTATATAAACAGCATGTTAGTTCCAAATCAAAAGCAATTCCCTGCTGCTAACTGCAGCGGAGCCTTTGTCTTTCATTAGCATGAATTTTGGGGAGCTACTTGACCTAT